GAGAAGACAAACAGTGAATTCAAAGATAGAAGAAGGATCTCTGAATCATTATCAGTCCTTGGGGAGATACTCTGACAAGCAGGCTTCCTGCCTTATTATTCAGCCTGCTCAGCATGCCTTAACTCTACAGTTCCTCTGTGACTTGCCAGATGGTAGATTCATAGTTCAGCCCCCATCTTAAGGGGCTTCTTGCCTTCTCCCCACCATTTTCTGAGTTCTTGCCAAGGCCATTTGCCTTCTGATGTTGGTACTGGTTATGTGTCAGGAAGTTTGCTAAGCACTTAATATACATTATCTTGCTTCTTACAACAATGCTAGGAGGAAATGGTATTATTGTTATTGTTGTTTTCCCAATTTAAGGATGAAGAAACTGAGGCTAAGATAACACAGCTAATAAACGGATGATCTGGGATTTAACCTTAGGCCAGTCTCTCTGCTCTGAAGCCCATGAACTTGATCATTTTCTTATCCTGCTTCTCATTTTTCATACCTGTGTATTTCTTTAGCTCTTTAGCTCTTTATCGAATCTTTTCAATTTGTCTTTTTGTTTCATTCTTTAGACCCATTTATTTTTTCTCATTATTAACTTCTTGTCGAACTAACCTTGTTTTCTTTTCATTCAGTGTTGACTTTTAATAAAGTAATCTCATAAAATTTGGCCCATATTATTTCAGTAAGCTTATCTCCCAGGAAATTGTTGATTGGAAAAAAAAATCACAAAAATTAATTTGAAAGCATGATACCTTTTCAACTATGGGAATAAACTTTTCCTCTAATTCACAAAATATGCTCAATGCTTTTGTATCTCAAAAATTTTGTAAGAGAATTTCCTAGGAGCTTGATCTATGGTGTTATATATACCATTAATGTTCAGTTCGCATAATTATAGACTTTTAAAATCTCTAGTAAAATACTTGAGAATATTGCTGTCTTTAAAAATCAGAAAAATAAAATTAAACTACATATCAAAACCTTATATTTGAATCAGTTAATAAGGTACTTTTTTCCCATATGTAATTTTTACATTTTGTTTAATTTTTTTAAACTCATGGGTATAGTAATGTTGGAAAGAGAAGGTGGGATAGTAGTTTCAGAAAGTGTATTTCGATATTTTATTCATGCAAATCTTTTTTTTAGCTTTGATGATATAGCAACTATAGCTAAAAAGCTTTCATTTTTCTCCATCGTGAATATAGACCCTATATTAATATAGAAGGATATAGCATTGTTTATCTATCAAAGCACAGTCAAGTTTTTGTTTTGAAGGAAAGCCAAATCATTTGATGCATCCTCTACCCTGTATAAGTTAATTTCTCTAAACATAGGACTATAGAAGAATATTATCAAGCAATCTAGTTTGGGTATCCATATTTGTTTATTTCTATGTGTTATACGTGCATATATACAAATGCATAGAAAAACACCTTGGAGGTAAACAATATTCGACTGTAACAGTGGTTGCCTCCAAGGAATATCCTTGGGGTTGGGAGAGGGGGTGTGCTGGGAACGAAGGAACCCTGCCAGTTTTACTCCATGTATTGTGTAAACTTTTTCAATAAGCATAAGTGACTTTTGCAAAAAGAAAAAAATCAATCAACAAAAGCGGCATTAGTTATAATAAATCTTGCTTGTATTCCAGTTCCACAGCCTCCTAGGTTAGAACCTCAGGAACCAAATTCTGCCACTAGCACAACAATTGCAGTCTACTGGAGCATGAACAAGGAAGATGTCATTGACTCATTCCAGGTGTACTGCATGGAGGAGCCACAAGATGACCAAGAATTAAATGGTAGGATTGGTAACACAAATATGGGTTCATGTGTACATTTCTGCATCTCAATGTGAAGTATTTAAACATATAAATATTATGACACTTTCCACAAAGCATTCCTAGCCACATATAAAAACAACAAACCAACAACCATGTACGAAATAACATAAAAGCAAAATTTGGAAATTAGGATCAAGAAAAACAAAAATGCATAAATATCACAATAGTCAACATGGATATTGTAATTGAGATTCAAATTTGACTTTGAGTTCTTAGGATAACAGAGACAATTGGGTGATTCTCATTTTCATAAGGGAAGTAACACACCAGAGTTAAGGGGAAAATAAAGTTTCAGTCAGTACTAAAGTCTAAAATACAAGTGTAATGTGTGTCACTTTGTAGAGGAGAAATGAGCTATATCGGACAGTGTCCGCCACAATAATTTTAATGCAAATGCAGCTTTGGATGTCATAGTTGGCATTTTCTCGGATCCACCGTTGATACAAGCTATTAGCAAACTATAAAGGTTAATTCAGAGTTTAGACTTCTTAAGGCATAGGCCTAGTTATGGTGTAGTTTTCTGGTGTCCCAAATTAATGCACAGATAGAAGTAAAAGTGTTTAGTAGGGTGAGAGGATGATACTTTTACAGCTGAGTCTCTGTAGCTATCTCTCCGTTCGGTAATATTTCTAAAAAGACCTAGAAGCCAGGCATTTTGAGGTTGTACTTCCTAATGAGTCAGAGCTGAGAGTGCTGGCATTTTGTGTCGAAGACAGACTGATATATTTTAGAAACCAGTTGAGCATGTGACGGATTGACATGCCACAGGAGCCCAATTTGTAATAAGGAATTAATTATAATATATTTCACTGTTATTAATATTTAAATCTTTAAATCTTTTGAAATGTTATGTGATTCTTACTTAAATTAGAAAAAAAGTAAGAAAAGCAACCATAGGCGTAGTATAAAGATGGCTGAGTTTGTCCATAAGAACTCCTATTTTATTGGGCGTCTATGATTATGTAGCTGTCACAGCACAATAAGATACATGCTGTTATCGCCATTTGTAAGTGAGAAAACTGTCGTGAGGTATAGCTTGTACATGGCAAGGGCATGATTCAAACAGAGATCTTTCAGGCTGCAAAGCTTACGTTTTTGTTTGCTTGACTCTGTGTTGGTTTTGTTATGCAGTCATCCCCCCCTTATGGGAGGTTTCACTTTTTGAGGTTTCAGTAACCCACAGTGAACCTCAGTTTAAAATATTAAATGGAAAATTCTAGAAATAAACAATTCATATGTTTTAATTGCACACCGTTCTGAGTAGCGTGGTAAAATCTTGTGCTGTTTTGCTTCACCCTACCCGGAATGTGAATCATCGCTTTGTCCAGCATATCCATGTAACAGCTGCCATCTCAGTTATCAGATTGACTGTCCCAGTATCACAGTGCTTGTGTTCAAATAAGTCTTATTTTACTTAATAATGGCCCCAAAGCACAAGAGTAGTGATGCAATTCGGATATGCCAAAGAGAAGCCATGCAGTGATTCCTTTAGGAAGAAAGGTGAGTATACTGCAATAAGATACTGAGAGAGAGAGAGAGAGAGAGAGAGAGAAAGAGAGAGAGAGAGAGAGAGAAAGAGAGAGAGAGAGAGAGAGAGTGAGAGAGAGAGAGAGAGAGAGATAGATAGAGAGATTGAGAGAGAGGAAGGGAGGAAGGGAGAGAGGGAGAGAGACCACATTTACATTCACATAACTTTTATTATGGTATATGCTATAATTGTTATATTTTATTATTAGTTATTGTTGTTAATCTCTTACTGTGCCCAGTTTATAAATCAGACTTTATCATACATATGCACGTATAAGAAAAACATCGTATATAGGGTTCGATATTATCTGTGATTTCAGGCATCCACTGGGGGTCTTGGAATGTGTTCCCCTGGGATAACGGAGGGTTCTATTGTACCACACTTCATCTCCCTGCGTATCCAGTTACATCATGAAACTTCTTGGCTCTCCAAGATTCCTCTTAGCAACTGTTTTATTGCCTGGAGTACTTTTTAAAAGTGATTTACACTGCTCCACTCCGCCCCTCGGCCACACACACACCTTCCCCTAAACACTTACCTGTCCTGTGTCTCATTCATTCAATGCCTTGAACACTGCTAATGCCAGTTAATCTGATGATGTATACTGTGATACTGTGTTGTGTGAAGTAGGTCTCCAGTAACATACACGGTGTGCATTGTTTAAAAAAGTCCTGGGTAATAGAACTTAGCTTGAAGGGATAATTCCATTGAAAACTGCAGCCACAGTTTAGAGGCTATAGGGGAAATGTTTTTTTCAGTGTATAAGTCCTTATGACATTATTTAAATCAAGCTTTATATCCAGAAAGTAAGCTAATTGGGAAAGAGAGATGCAATTAAGAAGACTGTTGAGTTGAAAAGCTCCTAAATTTCCTTTAAAAGGAAACAATCCGGGTTTCTTAACTGGAGGAGTTTTGAAGATGTGACATTCAGGAGTAATAAGGGAGGATAACAGAAATCACCGTAAGCTAATTTAAAAAAGAAAATTGTTCTTTTTAAGGAGAGAAAATTTCACTAAGAATAATCAGATTGGCCCAAACGGGCGGATGTTAAGAATGTTATTGAGTAATATTTACTACTAAAATATTGAAAGTAGAATAACATGAGAATTTTAGGAAATATCTTAATTGAACAGGTTACTTAGAATAGTTTATGATCTATAAAAGTTATTTAAGTATTTCTATAAATTGTGGAAATCCCTAGTTGAAAGAATTCTAGAACTCATGAGAAGGAACCAGGATTTGAAACTTTGAAAATCATACTTAATAATAAAATAGTTTATGAATCTGTAAAAATGCTTTATTGTCATCATAAGTTTAGAAAACATGAGGTTGTCCTTGTTTTACTACATATTCTTCTGAAATATTGGCATTTCTTCTTAGAAATTATCTTGAGAATGTATTATTGAGATTTAAGCTAACATAAACTGTGCAATTTTAGTATTTGCTATTAAAATAAGTTACTTGTGATATATGAAGCTCAGAATTTTACTAATACGCTATTGTTTTCTGATAAGTATTCACAAGTAATACTATGTCATTCTAATGATCTCTTCAGAATGCTATTGCTTTCTCGTGTATTCTAAAGTGCTAGCTCTCATATAATGATATCTGTAAGTTTATCAGTTTGGGTTTCCACTGAAAAAAGTAGACCAATTTTTTCAGTAACTATAACTTTCAATTAACTTTGGAAGAAACCTCAAAGTTTATTGTGTTTTATGCTAGACTTGGTAGAAGAATACAGAGTGACAGTGAAAGAAAGCTACTGCATTTTTGAAGATTTAGAACCTGACCGATGCTATCAAGTATGGGTAATGGCTGTGAACTTCACCGGATGTAGCCTGCCCAGTGAAAGGGCAATTTTTAGAACAGGTAAGGAGATGTTAAGAGGCTGTTAGGAGGCAATACTAAATTCTTCACAGACTTTTAAGATCAACTAATAAGCATGTATTAATCACCTATCGTGTGCTGGGTGTTATACAGTGCTGGATATGCAATGATGAATAAGAGTGGGTTTCTGTTCTCAAGAAGCTCATAGTCAAGTGAGGAAGGTAGAAAACCTGATAATAAAAAATTTGTGGTAAGGATCATGATCCAGTTATGCACGGGTTATTATGAGAACCTCCCAGAGGGGTACCTGAGACAACCCGAGTCAGGGGCAGAATCAGGAATGGCTTTCTAGAACTGATGCCGAATGAAATCCTTTAAAGGATTAGTAGGAAATAAATTGTTAAAGGGATCTATTTCATTTGAAGAAGTACTATGAGCAGAGGCATCAAGATAAGAAACAGTATAGAGCACTCAGGACACAAAAAGAAATTTGGAATTATTTCTTCGACTTAAAAATAAAGAGAAGAAAGACATGAGGTGAGAAGGGCTAGTGTATAGAGTTCATGTTTGCTAAGGTAAGAAGCTCAGGCTTCATCATATGAAAAACTCCAAAAAGTTTCTCAGTGATAGTAGTAGCTGGGAACACATTCCTAATATGTCATCTTTTCACAGAGGGCTGCAGCAGTTATAGGATAAGCCAAGTTCGCATTGCCTTTAAAATAATTTTAACTACCTCAGGGGGAAAAATGACTTACTCCCACCATTTTATGTTTCCTTCTGGCCTTTTAAAACAAATATTTATTGAGCACTTTGGGAAGACAAGATCATGGCTAACCTTTGTATAAAGGGAGGGGGACAGGAATCTTTGTTTTTATTTGCTTGTATATGTAGGGTTTATAGGAAACTAATGTGGAAGCTGTTTGGGGTTGGGGGGAAACTGGGCAGTTTGGAAGGCAGAGGTGGGAGGGAGACTTTCACTATATAAATTTTTATACCTTTTGGGTTTTTAACCCAGAATGTATTTTTTAATCAAAAATGAAAATGAAATCATGTTCAAGTAGTCTGCCCAAGTTACCATGGAAGCAGAACTGGCTTTGATTACTCTGCAGTTGACTTGGTTCTCTGTCCACAGCACCCTCCACCCCTGTGATCTGTGCTGAGGACTGTACCGTGTGTTGGAACACAGCCACCATCCGATGGCGGCCTGCCAACACAGAGGCCACTGAGACCTATACTCTGGAATACTGCAGACAGCACTCTCCGGAAGGCGAGGGCCTCAGGTAGGATCCCTCTCCATGGGGAGACCCCACTTCTCCATAGAGAGAGCCCGGGGTGCCAGGAACCCAGCTTAGGGCCCGAAGCTAAACTCTAGGCTTATGCTCACAGAAGGGAAAAAAGCTTCCTAAAATCCTGCAGAGCTAATTAAGTAGACTTGATTTGCAACTCCATCACTATTCATCAGTGAACTCCAAGTTTGTAATAAAACACATGCTACAATGCAGAATAACTCCCCTGTAAGAAAAATATATGCGAATTTTAATAAAATGGAACATGCTTTGAAGTATATTGAACTTGAGTCATCAGACAGGCTTTGTGCTTTTTTTATGGACTTTTTAGTAGTTATATTAGGATAGGTACCAGCTAACTCGGGAAACTGATAGTGACCTTGTATACAATGTAAACACATTTTTGTATGTGTAAATGTAAAATGTAAATTTGAATGTCTCTGTGATATATTGCTAATACAAAGGAGCCAATTACATATATATTATTACAGAGACATACCTGCCTCTCTAAGAGTATGAAGAATCTAGAGATCTTTGTGGGAAAAAATAAATGTAAAGCTCTCTCAATAAAATTATGAAGCTAAAATTTATCAAAAAAGGCCTGTGCATCGAAAGGACATTTGGTAAATGTTAATTCATTTACTGAGGTAGTGTTTTCTTAACCTCCACTCCATGGCAATAGGGCAACTTCATGTTCCATGACGAATATTCAGATCATCATTATTAATATTCATATTTTTGATAGAGACATTTTTAGCTTTATTTAACCAAATTTAGAGATAAATTATTTCTATAGGATATGAAACTTAGAAATAATGGTATGAAATTAGACAGCTTTTTGATAAAGCGTATTTATTAAGTGCTTACCTTCATGATCAATCAACAACTATTTATTTAGTTATGATGTGAGGTTTCATATGACTGAGCAATAATTATAGTTTCTTTCAAGTATATGAAGAGAGGCTTCACAAAATAATGATCAAAGAATGAATTAATGTTGAGTGGAGTGTGTAAGGGGAGGATGTAGGCATTTCAGTAGAAGTGAGAACATAATAAATGTACAAGAAACAACATCTCTGTTTAGCATGATAATTGCTGGAAGGCTCTTCAGAGCTCAGCAAATGGCTGAGAGGTGAATGCAGGCCAGGACAGAGGAAGGGAGAAGAAAGAGAGAAAGTGAGTGGGAGAGGCAGACAGACACACACAAAGAGATTATAACCGACTTTTATTGAGCATTTACTATGTGCCAAGTCAATTTCCTAAATACTTTATGTATATACATTACCTTATTTAACCTTCACAAGAACAATGACAGAAAACAGATGCTTTGAGAGGCTGCTCAGCTAGTGAGTGGCAATCGGGATTCAAATTCTATTTTAGGTTTCAAAGTCCAAGCTGCTAATCTTTATTTAATGTCACATAGGGGAGTCCTGGACCTTCTCTACAAAAAACTGTGGATGCTATGAGAGCATTATATGAGGAGTTCCTGAGTCCCAAGGCAGTCTCTCCCACCATTCTCTACCATCAGTGAGGAAAATCTAGTTCTTTCCAAGGCAAGATCAGACTTAAGAAGTGTTCTGAAATGACTTATCCTTGTTATGGCATCATTTCTCCAGCTGGCATTTGCATAAATGATATCAGTGCAGTTGGATTCTTAAATCAGCAGAAATCTGGAAACTCTGAGACCTAGAAGCTATGTCACTGAGGGAACTGATGTCGTCTCATAAACGTGACTACAAGGAGAAGGGAAAGGGGGACGGAAGGGGAAATGGCATCCATTTGAGGGCCTTCAACATGCCAGGAACTGTGCTAAATCTCATTTAACCCTTTCAACAGTCCTAGAAGGAAGGAAATGATTTCCACTAAATTAGACCCAGGGAGGTTAAATCATTTGACCAAGATATTAAATGATGGAGTGAAAGTTTGGAGTCAGTATTCAAACTCAGATCTATCTTATTCTTTCCACTAGTTTGAAAACTTATGTCCTTACGTAAACTGAGTTAGCATACCTCAATAGAGCCTGACAACTGGGAGCTATTGTGTATCCTTAGTTTCCTTTGTCACATGAAAAACATAAATGTAAAGAGAGAATGCAGAACCATTCAGAACCCCTTTGATTAATGTTTTTTCTTTCTCTGATCATTCCGGGGTCCTAAAAAAAACAAAAAAACAAAATTCTATTTGATATCAACAATGAACAGTGCATTCCAAATAAATCCTTCTATCAAAGCCAAAGAAACAAACGGCATTTTCATTTGTAGGGGAACAATGGCCATCTACCAATTTCACTAAGACAAAAGTTGAGCTTATTAAAACATAAGACTTGTCATTAGTTTATTCGTTCTATTTGAGACTTTGCCAGTGGGTTCATTTTTATTTTTCTTGTTGAAGGAGAACATCTGAGAGGCTGGATAAGCAGATGTTTATAGTAGTTATGGAACAATACAAGCATCCTTTATTATTGAATGGATATAGTCCAGCAAGTTTAGAAATGAAGGGAAATTCCACATACAGAGCCTTGTTGATAGTTTGGAGCTGTGTTGGAGATGGAGCTATTTTCCAATTAGGTGCTAAAAGACCCCTCAGTGCCAGGAGGTGGAATGGTATATCCAATCCATAGCCCAGGGATGACGTTCGAGTCTTTGGATTCCCGCTGGTCTAACAGTAGATAATTTTTTGAAGAAAGCAACATTTTGTTGACCACAAATCACTAAGCTGCCTATTTGCTAAGTCTATTGCTGATGCACCATCAGAGACATCCCTCATTGATACAGAAGCCTGAATGCCTTATACCCCAGGTTGGCATTAACAGACTATAAAATAATTCATCCTTAATCTCAGATGCCCAGGGCTGCAAAAGTCATTTGTATTTCTTTTGGTTCTCCGATTTAGGAGTTCAAGACAGAAGGGAAATTCTGCTCTTCCGGAGTGGCCATGTGTCTTAGGTCTTTTGATCATCTGGTTCTTACAACCAACTCTAAAACTTTCCTTACAGTATCTGATGGTTCAAAACTCTACAAAACATTAACTAACCTATATTGCTCAGTCTCTAAGATGTCAGTTGTAGACAGCTAGTCAGACAATAGAATTGATAAACAAAGAACCTCAAAACTTGATCACCTCTAGTCAACAAATGCAAACAATCCTTACTTTTCCATTATTTAGAACCACATTCTTTACTTTGGTTTTCTGCCCAGCAGTGCATAATTAAAGTTATTTTGTGTCTTAGAAAGAACAGCAAGCCAAGGATTGTCTGATCTCACTCACTTGCTGACTCCATGAAAGGATCATTATATAAAGTTTCAGCCTCAGTGCCTAGGATAGTGTTTGGCTTATTGTAGCTACTCAGTAAACATGTGTTACCTGAATAGGTTAATATCAATTAGCATTGGACACATAATGCTGACACTAATAAGAAAAGTTCGGCCAGCTCTCACGATAATCTCTTATTAAAAATGGGAAAAAAATAAACTGTGCCAACAAAGTAAAGAATGGTGAATGAGTTAATTTTAGTGCTTGGATACTTAACTAGAATATAGGACTAGTCTAATCTGTAGGCTGGAAACCTTTTCATGGATCACTGATAGTAAAGGGCACTTATAATCTTGTTTATCCATTATTTCTGTAGCCCTTAAGTAAGTTCTAGGTTCTATGCAAAAACCCTATACTAAACCAGATCTAAAAATTGATCCAGAGGCTATTTCAGGGGAATAAGGGAGATCAAAGATTACTTCTTTTTGACATGGCTCAGTGAAGGTGGGGACCTTATCTGTGTAGATATTCACGTGAATGAATGAGTGGATGAATGATGGGATTAGCCAATCTCTTTTTGCCCTTCACAACTTCAAGTCATCTAACTGGCTAGCAAAGGAGAGAGAAACTAAAGAGAACTAAGAATGAAATGGGTTCACATCTTTTTCTCTCACCCAATCCTTGAAAAAACAGACAACCTTAAAAGCTCCGATCTGGAATAGGAAGGAAGTTGAAAGGAAATGAAAAGAAGGGAGAAAAGGATGAGGAATATGAACACACACATACATATACACAAAGGCATTGATTACTCCTTAGATTAGAGAATCTAATTTTGGTTGCCAGAACATCCATCTTAAGACCTGTGGTTTATTCTCCTAGTATGATGGCCTCTGTTTAGTTCAATTTAAGATCAGAGGTGCTGGTTGAACTCTTATGGTGGGTGTTTAAATGGAATGAGCCTACTGTGTCCCCAAGTTCCATGACGTGGTGTCTGAAAGAGCCAAGCAATTGCCTCCATTCCATAATCCTCACAGAAAACACATTTGCATATTTTTGTGTGTGGGCCCGATGGCTTGGTCCCAGCAGTCGGGCCCCAGTTGGGATTGGGGGTGGGCGGGAGTGACAATCCCCGGCTTGTGTGCGGGGGCTGAGGGAGCTCCTACTCGCCCTTTCCTGTTTTTCTTTGAATGCTCTCCTCAGGTTGGGTGGGCTCAAGACACTTTCAAAAATTTTCCACGGCTCGGCTGTTTCCTCAGCTGTTCTGTCTCTCCTGTGTGGAGAGAAGTCAGCAGAACTGTGGGTGGAGGAGGGAAAACTGAGAGAAATATAGTACAGGGATTAGCTGTGTGGGCTGCACAGAGAGAAGCTGTGTACTGAATGACAAATCTGTGAGACTCAATATGGTTCAAAAGTAGTTGGTAGTGAACTTCCTGCTTCCCAGCTCTGACCAAGGCTGTGGACGGGGAGACCCTTGTGGTTTGGGGGTGTTGGGCTCTAGGTGCTGGACCTGTGAGCTCACTTTCCTCCCACTTCAAGCTTTTGGGGCCACACATGTTGGAGCAAGAACAGAACTGTCTGTCACAATTGAGTGTTCCAGCTGGGGACACCTGCCGTGCCATCTGTAAAATAAGGGCAAATAAGGGTGAGTTTGCTAGTGAACTTAGTGGCTGAACAGAGATAAAAAAAATTCCAGCATTTCTTTCTTTTTTAAGAAACCTTGTACTAAGCTTTTAGCTGGGTAG